TCCAGGAGCTTTTTCAAGCCGTTACGGCTTAATGAAGCCCCTGGAGAGCGAAAACGTTGCCACAGTAAAATGTCACATTAGTTGCATTTGTGTCCTTTTACTTAACATATTGTCGGTAATTCTACCAATATTTATACAACATAGGAAATGTAGAATTGCGGATGAGCAAGGAGGCTTCAGAGTGGGCAGGGGATGTGTAGATCAAGTGTTTTACATTGAAGCATATATGTGAACAGTATTTAGATAAAGGTAGGGAAGTTTTTTATTGCATTTATGGATTTAGAAAAGGCATATGATAGAGTGGATAGAGGAGCAATGTGGCAGATGTTGCAAGTTTATGGAATAGGTGGTAAGTTACTAAATGCTGTAAAGAGCTTTTATGAGGATAGTGAGGCTCAGGTTAGGGTGTGGTAGAAGAGAGGGAGAATACTTCCGGTAAAAGTAGGTCTTAGACAGGGATGTGTAATGTCACCATTGTTGTTTAATATATTTATAGATGGGGTTGTAAAAGAAGTAAATGCTAGGGTGTTCGGGAGAGGGGTAGGATTAAATTATGGGGAATCAAATTCAAAAGGGGAATTGACACAGTTACTTTTTGCTGATGATACTGTGCTTATGGGAGATTCTAAAGAAAAATTGCAAAGGTTAGTGGATGAGTTTGAGAATGTGTGTAAAGGTAGAAAGTTGAAAGTGAACATAGAAAAGAGTAAGGTGATGAGGGTATCAAATGATTTAGATAAAGAAAAATTGGATATCAAATTGGGGAGGAGTATGGAAGAAGTGAATGTTTTCAGATACTTGGGAGTTGACGTGTCGGCGGATGGATTTATGAAGGATGAGGTTAATCATAGAATTGATGAGGGAAAAAAGGTGAGTGGTGCGTTGAGGTATATGTGGAGTAAAAAAAACGTTATCAATGGAGGCAAAGAAGGGAATGTATGAAAGTATAGTAGTACCAACACTCTTATATGGATGTGAAGCTTGGGTGGTAAATGCAGCAGCGAGGAGACGGTTGGAGGCAGTGGAGATGTCCTGTCTAAGGGCAATGTGTGGTGTAAATATTATGCAGAAAATTCGCAGTGTGGAAATTAGGAGAAGGTGTGGAGTTAATAAAAGCATTAGTCAGAGGGCAGAAGAGGGGTTGTTGAGGTGGTTTGGTCATTTAGAGAGAATGGATCAAAGTAGAATGACATGGAAAGCATATAAATCTATAGGGGAAGGAAAGAGGCGTAAGGGTCGTCCTCGAAAGGGTTGGAAAGAGGGGATAAAGGAGGTTTTGTGGGCGAGGGGCTTGGACTTCCAGCAAGCGTGCATGAGCGTGTTAAATAGGAGTGAATGGAGACGAATGATACTTGGGACCTGACGATCTGTTGGAGTGTGAGCAGGGTAATATTTAGTGAAGGGATTCGGGAAAAACCGGGTTATTTTAAAAAGTGGGATTTAAAGTCCTGGAAATGGGAAGTACAATCCCTGCACTTTTAAAGGAGTGGTTTAGTTTTTGGCAGTTTGGGGGATATTTTGTGTATCTTTATCGTATATGCTTCTAAACGTTGTATTCTGGGACCTCTGCAAAAGCAGTGATAACAGTGAAAAAGTGTGAGTGTGGTGAAAGTGTTGAATGATGTAAAAGTATTTTTTTTTTGGGGAATTTTCTTTCTTTTTTGGGGTCACCCTCCCTCGGTGGAGCGACCGACTTGTTGGAAAAAAAAAAAAAAAAAAAAAAGGAAAAATTTTTTCCTTTACACTGTTGTCCCGGTCCCCTAGCAAGCAAGTATACCTGGGTGTTAAAGGACTGGTATGGGTTGCACCGGGGGGACATGAGAGACCCCAAGGGAAAAAAGACAGTCCCTCGATGAACACACGCCTTTCCAGGATTATCCTGGGTGGCTAACCCCCCGGGGTTAATATCAGAGCAAAATCTTATCTTTTATTTTCCCGGGTTCCCCTGCTTGTCACTAGGCATCGTCACATGAGGTCCGGGGTTCGACTCTCCCCGGTACGTGGAGAAGTAAGTAAAGCAAGTTTATTCAGGTATACACAAATACAGTTACATAGAATTACAACATACAATATGTGTAGAGAACCTAGGAAAACCCCAAAAAAAAGTCAGACAAGTGATTATTTTCGTTGGGGATGTGTTTAAAGACCCTACTGTCCCTGTTCACCCATTATTTAAAAATTTGGGTTATTGATGCAGGGGACGGGTTGGGTCGTTCTGGGACAAAA